TATATTTGATGGAAGAAGAAGTACTGCTTGTACTGCTTGAGAATGGTTGTCTTTCAAATCTAGGAAATAGAAAAAGGATTTATAGTGGAAGATTATAGAGTTCTTCTATCAGCATAATGTTTTTATCATAAGATACGATCGTGGGTTGGAAGGTAGAATATATTTACTTAAATGGTAGATTTGTTTCTGGTGTTCAGAAATGTAAGCAACGGCTTGTATTATTTTGCAGGAAAACATCAAGATCTGAAATAATATTAAGATGAAACACAATATCTTCCTTCTTTTTAAAGCTTTTTTTTTGTCTTTACATATTCAATTGGAGCTTCAAACATGCATAAAACCATATGTTTTTATCTGTACTGCCTTAGGGCACTATGTGTTCCTAATACTTAATCATTCTTGAAGCTCCTAATATGGGAGCTGTCTCATAATAAACTCTGAACAAGTTTAATTAAAAGTTAAATTAACATATTGAATTAAAATTTATTTAAAAAATATATATATATTGTGTGTTTAAAGAGATCTATGCAAAATGAGCTACTCTGTTCTTGCTTTAGCAACCTGCAAGGCCTTGTGTTAGGAAGTCCTCCATATATGTGCTTTTTTAAATGAAACTGATGTTATTCTGGTTTTTAACGTGTACATTACCAAGCTAGAGTGACTCTCAGAATCACCCAGGGAAGCAGGTTAAAAATCAAGTTTTCCTGGTTCATGTCACAGAAATTCTGATCGAATAGGTCACAAGGCTGGGAGAGAGAATCTTTATTGACCTGCAGCCTCAGTGTGTCCCTCTTTTTGAAACCCTCAGGTATAAACTATGTCCTCTGTGGCTGAAGAGCTCTCTGCAAGGTGGCTGCTGTCCCCTTTATGCATTTTGAATTATGTTCACAGAAAAGTAGCTTCTTGGGGATAAAAGAGATTTATAAAGGTTATTGAGTGTAGTTTTGCCAATCTAGCAGGGCAGAGATAGTCAACATATTATTTCATTTCTGAAATTTTAGCAGAAATAAACAACATGATTAGTTTGGAATGAAATTCATAGCCAGTGAGTTAACAAGAAATACTTCCGTTGTTGATTACAGCCAGCTCAACTAGCCCCCTAAACTGTAGTTAACTTTTGGTGTGATTTCAAGTGGCTTCTTTATGTTTATATTAGCAAAATTTTCTAACACTGTTTCAGTATTTTAAATAATATTTAAATAGTTTACTATCAACATTGATCTGAATTCATGTGCAATAAAAGGTAGGTGATGTCTCTGAGTTTCTGGAAACGATACATGTGAATCAAAGGGGTAGGTTGACAGCTTTATGGTAAATTAATAGTCTTGACCTAGTGATATAAGAAGGGAAGTTGCTTTTAGTGTGTGGTTCAATTTACTTTCTTAACCTATTTGGATGACAGTCTGTGTCAACAGTCACAATGAGCAGTATAAAAACACCTAGATAATGACATAGAAATTCTAACTTTTTAAAAATAATATTCTTTGTTTGCTTTTTTTTTTTTTTTTTTGTCAGTATGCTATTGCAAGTCTTGAAAATACAAGAAACTGAGGACAACTTGCAGGGCAAGGGCAAATGTGAACTTAACATTCAAATAAAAATCCCTGCAGTGTTTGCAGCTATAGCACAAGGAGGGATTCCTGCTGCGATTCTGTTGTTGCCTTTTCCACCATTTAAAAAACATAGCTTTTACTATGGAAGATATCAAATCTGTGCAAAAGTAGAGAAAATGGCACTAAGAACCTCTGCGTACCCATTATCCACTTTCAGCAATCATAACTCATGGCCTGCCGTTGTTTCATGCATATCCCCACCCACTTCTTTCTCCATGCTTCTAGTTTGTCACTTTAAGCAAATATCAGATACCATCTCCTTTTATATGCATATATTTTAGCACACGCATATTTCTGAAAGACAAAGAGCCTTAAAAAAGAGAACCACAATACCTTTATTATACTTTAAAAATTATCAGTGATTCCCTAGTATCATATATCCAATCAGCTTTTCAACTTTTTCTGTCTCTTACGTGGTTATTTTTAATACTTGTTTGTCTGAATGCGCATCTAAACAAAATCTGTGCTTTGTTTGGTATGTTTTTTACGACTCTTAATTTATTAATGTCCTTCTTCTTTCTGCTGCCTGCCCTGCCCCATCCCGCCCCATTATTTGTTGGATAACCTGCTATATCCTTTGTTTTTTGGAATTTGCAACATCCTGGATTTTGCATATTACATGCCTGGCATGCCCCTTAGCACGTTCCAGCATCTTCTGTATTTGATGTGAATTCATAATAAAGGGCTTGATCAAATTCAAGTTTAATTTTTTTTTACAAGACTGCTTTTTTTTTTTTTTTTTTTACAAAACTGGGGGTGTATCTATCCATCAGGAAGACAGCTGGCTGTTAGTCTCAGTTTCTGTGACGTTAAAATTAATTAGCAAGTTCCAAACACCAGATTTAGCCTCATCCATTCATTATAAAGTACCCCATCAGCTTTGCACCTCATAATTCTTTTGCAGTCATTTATAATCACTAATTATAACTGTTATATCAAGAAAAAGAGATAATATTTTTAAAGTAATTTTTAAGACCTGGGGTGTAACATCTGTGTGATTTTCCCGCTAAGGGGGTGGCTCGGCATTCTTCTCTAAAGCTGCCATGGGGAATCTTACTGAGCCGAGGGTTAGAAGCTCTATGGAAAGCAGAAGCGCAAAGTGATCCAAACATCTTTCTGTGGCGTTGGCATTCGTATGAGACAGTTTCTCAGGCCCAGGCCTTCCAGATATAGAGCAATTTTTTGTTTTTATTTTTGTTAAATAACAAAACTGGGACTTCTTCAAAATTTCAGTATATACTACACTATTGGTATATTAACATTTGACTTAAAATAGCAGAGGAGAGGGTTGGGAAACACCGTTGCCGTATCTCCATTCCTTCAGCCTGTTCCTCTGTTCCGAAGTGAGAGTTGGGCCAACGAATGACCCCAGCACCGAGCCTCACCACATCATTGTTCATGATTTTTGACAGCCAGCCTCGGAGGAGTAGGAGAAAAGGAAGATCAGTTGGGAAGGTCTGGGATGGATGTCCCAAACTAGCAGCTACATGTTGAGGGAAATTAAAGATGATTAGACTCATCACACTGGAAGGTAACTTAGAAATTCCCCGATCTAACCGCTTCGCCAATCCAAGGGTCCCTCCAGAAGAATGAGAAATAGACGAGGACTTCTCTTCACATCCTGTGCGGATGGGGCTCATCTCCGTCTGCTTCTTTCATTCTGTGCATGTGATTTTCAATATTGGATTGCACATTCCTCGAGGATAAGGAATTTACCTAATTATGCTGTTTAATCCCATATAGCATGTCAAAGATAAACACAGCTGGACATTAGTTAAAGCTGTGAAAATAGAGTTGATTCAGTGACTGCTGACAGTAGGGGGGAAATCTGAGTGCCATTCTGATTTGTGCAGAGATGGCTGGGTCCTTACAAGCGAGACTATGAGAAGGGGTCAAGCTGGGGGTCGGCAGAGTCAGAGAGGTGAAAAATGACCAAGGGTTGGTCAGTGGGACTGTGATTTGGCTGGCTGAGTCTGCTGGCTGGCAGTATTCAAAGTTAGTATTCTATCCTCCCGCAGAGACTGGGAGGCAGGCCCTGTCCTTCCTGATGATGACATTTTAATGCAGTGGCTCTCTGGCCCTTGAGAAAGACACTTGTGAGTTGCAAGAGCTGCATATTCACAGCTGTAAGCCCTTTGTAGAAGATGCTCTGTAAAAGAGAGGTCAGGGGCTTCTCGGGTATTAACGCGAACAAACTATAAATTCTTCTGGCTGTGATGAGCTTTCTCAGGCAAGTGTTTTTAATGGGAGGCTGGGGTCATTCTGGGAATGTGGCCTTATGCTGCTGGAGCAACACTAGGGTTTGGCTGTCTCCTCCGCAGAAGTTTGGATGAAGTTTGTCATGTGCTGAGAGTTCTGCAGTTCTCAAGGGTCTAGAACAGCACTTATTGAATTTGTGTTGACTAAATACATTGAAATAAATGTAATTTTCTCTACTCAGAAAGGAAGGTGGTCAGTTAAAATGTTTTCCACTTTACGGTAGTGCCTAGCGACAGGCAGGGAAATGGGAGAAACCCCTCCCCTCATTGTTTTCCTTCCCTGGCTTCACCTGGCCGTTCTCGTTAGCGAGGACGGTCCTGCGGCCTCTTGATGGCTAGTCTCTCCGTCTGCGAATAAGGGACATCTCTCTACGACAGAGATTTTTATTTATTTATTTTTTATCCTCACCCGAGGACATTTTTCCTTTTTTTTTTGTACAGATAGAGTGGGAGGGAGAGAGAGGAAGGAGAGAGAGAAACATCGACGTGAAGGGACACATCGAGTGGCTGCCACCCGCACGACCAACCAGGGCCGGGGACAAATTGCAACCGAAGTACGTGCCCTTAGCGGGAACCGAACCCGGGTCTCTCCGGACCGCAGGCCGACGCTCTAACCACTGAGCCAAACTGGCCAGGGCGAGATTTTGATTTTTTGGAAACAATTCAATATGGGCCAACTTGCTATAAAATGATAATCAGTTTGTTATTAAAAGATTAAGTATTTTCATAACTTCTACTATGAAAAACAGACAGTTCAAACATCTCTCACCCAGGGAATCATACCCAACGGGGCCAGCATTTCTGTCCTGTGTATTATCAAACTTTTCCTTCATAGCATTTATCTCAGATCGTAATGTATTTATTTGCATGATAATTTTAAGGCATATGTCATGGAAATTAGACCTTGTTCACCGCTGTAAGGCCAGCATCTACCACACTGCCTAGACATTCATTATTAGATGTTTTCCAAAAGGATCCATTTAATGACTCAAGGAATGCCATCTTGTCTTTTTCTGTAAGACAATGTTGACAGTGTAGACGTACTATTGAATAGAAACAGGGTGAATGAATGTTTACAAAATGTCATGAATCTTGAGTTATGTTTCAACGATTCTTCTTCTCTTTGTAGATTCCTTACCTATTCCTACCTCTTGGCCTTCAATATGTGGCTTCTGCTTGCACCTGTCACCCTGTGCTATGACTGGCAGGTGGGCAGTATTCCTCTGGTAGAGACCATCTGGGACATGCGGAATTTAGCCACCGTCCTTCTGGCAGTTGTGATGGCCCTGCTGAGCCTGCATTGTTTAGCCGCCTTCAAGGTAATTTTCTGAAATGTAAATGAATTCTGCACTTGAAGAGATGCTCTATACTCAACAATGCTTTGTTTTCCTCAATAGGAGGTCTGGGTCTAAATTGAATCTACTCTTTTGTCTAAAAAACTTCATGTATTCAAAATTTCCCTGGTAGGTAATATGTATTTTAAAGACCACAGTGGAGGTTAACAAACCATTGGCACCTTAATCATATTTCTTTTACTGTTTCTACGAACCCCGTAGAAATTAGATCTGAAATTTAATGTTTGCGAACAAAAAAATTTTTTTCTGCTACTGTGGTTGGCTAATTTTTTTGAAGTAATTGGTTTAATGTTAAATGAGATCACGATAATATATTCATAAGTGCTTATCTTATGGTTAAGACTCTACTCCACTGATGTCTGCCTTCCCTGGTTGGGTGATGCTCACTTCATAAAGAATAGTATAATACTAGAAAAACTACTGATTGCAACCATTTCAAAAATGACCCAAGACGGCAAAGACTTTGAAAATGTTTAGTTATGAAAAACTGCTACCGAATGGGTAAGATGCCTAAGGGTATTCTATTCTCTGTGCCTCTCCCCGTTCTCCCCGCACCATGTTAAAAACAGGTTTACTGTCTAGAGGTGGCTGATGTGGTTTGGGAGAGTATCAGAGTAGCTGGGAATTTAAGCGGGAGATTTTGGAAGCTACAGGCTACACAAGGGCTGAGCTCATCTGTTCTCTTCACGTTTATGGCTGGCATGTGTGCACGGCACTCCCTGGGGAGCACAAGGAACATCGAAAGCCTGGGGAGACTTACTAATTTGCTGCAAATGTGAATGGGTTCCTCAACCCATACATAGTTTGGGTGGCAGAGAGGAGACACTTCCTGACTTAGGTGTATAACCTCTGCTGACGTTATTGGCTGATCACAAACTATGCAAACACAATAAAAATCCCCCGAGAGCCAGGGGAAAAGGGAATCCTGAGCAAAAATGTCAGCTCGCTGCAGAAAAACAAGTTTTTCAGTCTGAGTCCAGGCAAGTTCATCCTGTAATAAAACAGGAAAACCAGCATATTTCGGAAGAACAAAATAGAATACAGAGTTACAATGTATGGCACACAGTGCCTAGTTTTTAATAAGATTAGTAGACATATAAAGAACAGGAAAGTGTGACCCAAACTCAGGAAAACTAATGTCAATAGAAAAAAAAATTGTCAACAGAAGATGGAAAAGTATTGAGATTCCATATCTAAAGTCACATTTACGTGATCAATTAACTTTTGACAAAGTTACTGAATAGTTTTTTTTAAATGTTGAAATAATAGACTGTCTGTCATCCTTCCTTGTTTATCAACGAGAGCTCTGGAGGAGAGGACACAATGTACCTGTTACCATTGATTTTATACAAACATGACTTCAAAATTAATATTTTAATAATTGGCTTTACAAAGCTACAAATTAACATATGTAAATAAAAGGGCAGGTTTGTTATTTCCCTATCACCTCCTCAAATCCTACCTTTTGTGGCCTTCCTTTGAATATTTGTTCTTACACATTTTTATACTCAACTAAGAACAAAAACAAGTGAGTTATTACACAAGTAAGTTAAGTTAAATGCCATTGCAGATTGAGCCTCTTCCTGGCCACTTCCACATCCAGTTGGAGAATCCCCGCATGTTAGCAGCTCAAGAGTAGATGATGCTCCCTCAGCCGGGATCAAGTGGGAGAGCAAGGCTACTGAATCTAAGAGTTTTCTTTCTCTACAAATAACCACAGGATTAATTTAGAGATTTAAGACCTCAAGAGCTGGTTTGTTATTTATCATAGAAGAGCTCACTTGGCATCTTTAATAATCTAAATGTAGACTGTGTCTTATTTTGTGCCTCTTCTTTATCTCCTCCTCCCCTGCTCCACACCCTTAATTCACTAGGAATACATTTGAGTTTATGTAATATAACATAGAGAACAATCTAGAAATTCATTATTGGACTGAATTCTTTTCAACAATGAATTTTATTTATTTTTTATTTATTTATTTTTAATTTTTAATTTATTTTTTTGTTACAGATATTTCTCCTTTTTGGCCCCATTGGCACCCCCCTCCCCAGCCCACCCCTGCACCGTCCCCAGCTTAGTTGTCCATGTCCATTGGTCATGCATACATGCATATAAGTTCTGTGGTTTATCTCTTCCCACCCTCCCACCCCCCCTTCTGAGGGATGTCAGTCTGTGTCCTACTTCCATGTTTCTGGGTCTACCGTATTCCTCAGACTGTTATGTTCATTATATTTCGTATATAAGTGAGATCATGTGGTATTTGTATTTTTCTGCTTGGCTTATTTCACTTAGGATAATACTTTTCAGGTCTCTCCATGTCGTCTCAAAGGGTAAGAGATCTTTCTTTCTTACCGCTGCATAGTACTCCATTGTGTATATGTACCACAGCTTTTTTATCCATTCATCTACTGATGGATACTTGGGCTGTTTCCAGATCTTAGCTATTGTAAATAGTGCTGCTATGAACATGGGGGTACATATATTCTTTCTGATTGGTGTTTCAGGCTTCTTAGGGTATATTCCTAGCAGTGGGATCACTGGGTCAAATGGCAGTTCAATTTTTAATTTTTTGAGGTAACACCATATTGTTTTCCATAGTGGCTGCACCAGTCTGCATTCCCACCAGCAGTGCACTAGAGTCCCCTTTTCTCCACACCCTCGCCAGCACTTGTTGTTTGATGATTTGTTGATGGTGGCCATTCTGACAGATGTGAGGTGATACCTCATTGTTGTTTTAATTTGCATCTCTCTGATGATTAGTGATGTTGAGCATTTCTTCGTATGTCTCTTGGCCATTTTTATGTCCTGTTTGGAGAGGTGTCTATTCAGCTCCTCTGCCCATTTTTTAATTGGGGTCTTTGCCTTCCTTTTGTTGAGTTGTATGAACACTCTCTATATATTGTAAATTAACCCCTTATCTGACACATCATTGGCAATGATGTTCTCCCATACAGTGGGTTGCCTTTCCATTTTGATGATTGTTTCTTTTGCTGTGCAGAAGCTTTTTAGTTTGATGTATTCCCATGTGTTCTTTTTTTTTCCTTTCAACAATTAATTTTAAAGTGGACTAATTTGTTCCTACTCTGTGTGATAGGGATAATCTCCCTGTTGGGATGTAGGTACAGTAGAGATAAAGAACATTAAAATCATGAAGTTTGTTATTCTGTTTTCTTTTATGAATAGAGAACATTTATACACCAGAGCAACCATAGGCTGAAGATGCACTGGGTTTTTCTTTGTGACTCTTACAGACTGTTGACTTGCAGTAAATGGTGATGTATATTGAGAAAGTAGCCAATCTGATTTGGGTTGTTTAGAGGAGTTAGTATCATTGGTCCTGTTCTTTATAGTTGCCCTTTTCCCACGTCCTCTAATGTGATTTTCCTGCATTACAGAGGAAATACCACTAACTTACACTTAAGAGTAATTTATTTGTTGTTCATTCTTTATTACATTCTCACAGGGAGTCTTGAGATTTTAAGGTATTTGTATACCTTTTATTATCTTGTGGCATACTTGTAAAAGTAAAACCGGAGGGAAAAAAGAGAGGGTTAGTGATACCCAACTTTCCTAATGACCTCGAGAGTGAGCTGTCTTTTGAGAATGGACATTAGTCAGGGGAGAGCCCCTTCTCCAAGCATGGGGCTTTCAGGCTGTTTGGTTTCTTTTTTATTTTAGTGGGGTCACAACTCTATCCCAGTCTATTCATAGCCTTCCACTTCATTTTCTTGAAACCAACAGAAATCCTAGGGCACATCTCTGGGCCCCAGAAAACAAGTCAAATTTTCACGTCTAACAGGGGTATGAATCTGCAGCCCAACCAGTGGAGGTGACCACTGGTGACAACTTGGTGGAAGTGGAGGGGTGGTAGGGGGTGGAAGTAACATATCTGCTCACTTAGCGGAGATGCACTCACCGCAGGATCTCCCTTCCTGCCTGTTCCCAGCCTTGGCTCAGTGAGTCCCCATGCTTGTCCAAATCACACCCCCATCACCATGCTGGATCAAAGAACAGACAGCTACCCTATGGGCGAATGGCAGCTGTCAGCCTTAGATCTCTCTTTCGTTACCCCACCCCCCCCCCATATCTCAACCAGGAGGGAACAGAATGAGAGCCATTGCTGAAAGTGAGTATTTGCTCATTGACATTCTTACCTCATTCCAAAAAGGACTTGGAGCAGCTTAAAGGGAAAAAATACAGTACAATGGGATAGACCAGAAGATGGAAAAAAAAAAATTTTTTTCAAAGAATCAGATTAGAAATATTTGAAGCCTTGCTGGTCACACAGTCTGTCACAATTATTCAGTCCTGCCATTGTATCATAAATTAGTGACCCCTGGTATAGAACATGGTACTGCCACAGACCAGCACAGTTGGGTTGAACGTGCTTTCAGATTTCTAAAAATTATTTTGTATTTTGTTCAGCAAGTAATAGGTTAAGTTATTATTGTGGCACATAGATTACTGTGGAATAACTTTTAAATTTCAGAATAGCCATTATGAGACCTGGTAAAATAAGCATGTTTTAATACTCTAAGTGGTAAAATAAAATTGAACTTGAGGAATGAAGTTTGTCTTTAATGGTGAATGGCTCTGTGCCAGCATTGATTTTTTCTTTTTCTTTTAAATTTCTGGACTACATTCTTTTCCCCTGTTCTCTGAAAACTCCATGTTCGCCATCCTTTTTCTGTCCTCAGTTCATGAGAATCCTCCTCATACTATTAAAGGTCCAATTTTTCTAGCCCATTTACAACCCAGCGATTTGTCCTGCTTTGGGACCGTTGCAGTCACTGACGGAAGAGGTCTTGATAATATCTTGACATGGTTCATCTGTCTCGACCACCAGCGCCAGGGGGTAGCCATTGTCTGGGATGCCTCTCTGTTTCAGGGTTGGCCAGCCCAGCCTCTTACACTGTGCTTTGGGGGCTTCTCCCCCCGACACCTTTCTAGCGATGGTGATGCT